GGTGGGGTTTATTTTCTGTGTGAGGCCTGTGTGTACCCATTCCTGTTTACATCCCACTCAGATCTCCACCTCAGAGCAGAGGAATTTTCCACAGCTTCAAAAGCGCAAGGGGCCGGCGGCAGGCCCAGCCTTAGGAAATGTAGGCTCAAATATATGAGAGATTTGAATGGTTTAATACTTTTGGTTAGTATATAATTTCCATTATTCCATTTATGTTATCTCCTAAGATTGATGAACTTTCTATTGTTGTGAAATATGGAAAATACTAACAAAATATGAGTATGTTTGAGCAGGGTCAGACTTTAGCCTGGTAGAGAATTTGAGAGTTTTAAAGCAGTTAATGTAATAAGAGCAAACATACAGAGATACAGATAAGTTATCTCCTAGTTTTGATGACTTTTCTATTATAGTGAAACATGGAAAATGCTAACAATAAAGAATAAGTAGGTGTGTGCAGATTTGTAATGTATTTGCTTGTTTTACACTAGCTTAATAGAAAGCAGACGTAATATACAAGGGCGGTAACTTATAAAAATGATAAAAATCTGTCATGCACATTGATTGAAATAAGTTGGCACGATTACAAACATGCACTGACTCAAGGTCAGGGGGAAACGGATGAGTCACAAGCAGACACGCCTCAGGTCAGTTATATGAGCTGCTCTTTCTGTCGTGACTCATGCTTTAAGTTTGCTGGTACAGCCACAGAATCATTTAGAGGCGATTCCTGCAGAGCACCAACTCTTAAGGTGATGATACACAGGGCAACTTTTTGAGCAATGTTGCTGGGCAATCTTGCCGAGCGATTGTTGCTTGGGCACTTTCCCATTGAAAATGGGCAATACATTTCTATCTGGATAATTTAGATCGGTCGTGGGCCCTGTGTCTCATCTGGTTGCCCGTTGACGGCAACATTGCCCAGCAACATTGCTCAAAAAGTTGCCCTGTGTATCATCACCTTTAGAAACTATACTGGATGACTTTTGTACAAGCAGAACACTTACCCAGAGCTCCCTGACAGATGTCTGTCCGCGAAGCTCCTCCCACAATGAACTGAGGATCATCACAGAGCTCCTGCAGAAAAGGAGGGATTAGAGGGACTGACACTGGAATTTGGAAGCCTAAAGGTTTTTATTCCTAGCAAGATTGAAGCAAGCAAGACCTTATAGGAATAGTTTAGCCAAAAATGAAAAAGCACCCTCATGTTAAAACAAATCTGTATGTTTTTTTGTATGGTACACAAAGGATAAATGTTTAACAGTTTGTTACCTTTTTGATGAACTGCCGTTGAACGGAACAGTGTTATTTTAGTATGACTGAGACTGAGGGATAATTATTTGATATTTTGCATTAGTTTTTACTTTTGTATTTTCCATTTTCATTTGAAAGTTTTAGTAATTTTGTTGTTTTTTTGTCATTTTTATTTGTCAATGTTTCTTAAATGTATTTATCTGTATATCAGTATATAGTTATTTTAGTATGAAAGCTTGTTTAAGCCACAGAAAAAAAGAAAATAAATTAATTGCGACTTTTTATTTCACAATTCTGACTTTTTTTCCCCTCGCAATTGCGAGTGAGATATAAACTCACAATCGCAAGTAATAAAGTCTGAATTGCGAGATGTAAACTCGCTATTGTGAGAGAAAAAGTCAGAATTGTGAGCTGAACTTATTTCCTCAGAATTGTGATATAAACATGGACTTGCAAGAAAAAAGTCAGAATTGTAAGATGTAAACTTGCATTTGCATGTTATAAGGTCTGAATTGTGAGATATAAACTTGCAGAAAAATAAGACTTGTGAGAGAGTCGTAGTTACTTATATATATTTATTTTTTCAGTTATCGTTTATTTTATTGCAAGTAAAAAAAAAATCCGCTTTAGTTTTAGTTAATTATAATACACTGGTATGGAAAAGAACATATTTTCGTATATTATGGGGGGGGGGAAAACAGGCTTTGGAACGACATGAGCACAAGTACTGCTGCCAGAAAAACATATTCATATTGTTTAAAGAAATAACAATGGCCAGTGTGAATGAGGCCTTCATTCTTCAGAGGAGGCATTTTGACTAAGTGTGTCTACAGAAACGTTATAATCCATGTGTATGCAACTTTATAATAGTGACAACAGCTGCAGTAGAGACTCGAGAGAAGGGAGGAGTCATTCTGACTGCAGGGATGTGCGGGCCCACAATGAAGAGCATGTTGCCGTCTAGACTGCTATGCAGTATATTATACACTCATGTTCAAAATGGTGTCAGTATGATTTTTTTAATTAATCAAAAGTGACAGTAAAGTCATTTATAATGTTACAAAAAACATTTATTTGAAATAAATACTGTTCTTTCTATTTATCAAAGAATCCTGGAAAAAAAGAATCACAGTTTCCACACAAATATTAAGCAGCACAACGGTTTACAACATTGATAATAATAAGACATTTTTCATATCAGAATGATTTCTGAAGGATCATGTGACACTGAAGACTGCAGTAATGATGCTGAAAATTCAGCTTTGCATCACAGGAATAAATTACATTATAAAATAAATAGAAAAGGCGTTATTTTAAATTGTATTACTATTTCACAATATTACTATTTTTGATCAAATGCAGCCTTGGTTAGCATCAGAGACTAAGAGGTAGTGAATATATAAGCGTTAAGACAATATAAGAATGAAAATCAGCGTGGTCCAATATTGTCATTGAATTTCATTGCATGGACAAAAACAGTTTTTCAAAATACCATATTTTGTGTTCCACAAAAAAATTAAATAAAATGACATGAGGGTGAGTAACCTAACCCTAACCGTTTTAGACAACCACATCTAGTAATGTAGCTTTTTTTCCGTACCGTAGGGCGCATCCACTCCACATCCTGGGTTTTGGAGGAATGTGGAGCGAGTTCTTTGAAGCCAAGCGAGGGCGGTTCGGCTGGAAAGCAGGGGTCTTCAAACAGGTAGCCCCCTTCCAAACATTCCTGTTTGAGGGCCTCAAAATCCTGGTTCTGGAAGTGTAAGGCCTGCTCAAAAGAGCCCACACCATCCGCCTTTAGCCTGTTAGCACTGATCTGTGCTGAGATCCCTCCATATGTGAACATGCTGGAGCAGTGAGATGCAGACCGGGTATAAATAGCAAAACTGATACCAAGATGATTCACACTCACTCCACACTTAAAACTCACTCCATATCATTATAACATGTTTGTGCATTTGTCTGGACATTGCATTTTGCCATAAAAAAAACAGACAAATAAAAAATGGACATGTAAATGTCAATCATGTACACCAGCTTTCAAAAGACTAACACTGGTGCTGAGAACCCATAAACATTTATTTACAGTATACATGTAAATGATAATACAATGGACATACTGTTCAAAATGAAGACAAAAAGTATCTTGACACTTTGTGGTTGTTAAACATTAAAGGAATTATTTAATGTGAAACCATGTTAATGTGGAACATGGCAATTGCACAAATGGCCAGAGAAAAATAACTTTGAGAATAGTTGTGCTGTGCATCATGAAGGTTTGATGTTAAATACTGTCTTTGATAACTGGGATGCTGCTCTGTGGCTCTTCTCAGTTAAATAATGCCACACCATTGGCATCTTATCTCTATTTAAATGATTGATCAAACACAAACTGAGAGCCTCTCATTCATTTCAACAAACGAATCACAATCAGTGTAATATAACAGCCTGAACTAGTATACAAACAAACAAATGTACGAAAACTACTGAAACGTCGAGAAATCAACAACAGGACTGTTTTAAACCTCTATCAATATATATGTAACATTTTAAAAACACTTTTAGTGGCGATTTATTTGGTGTCTTGTTCTGTAGGCCTACATTTCTTTTCTAAAATGTAAGGAATGCCAAACATTTGCCTTGGTGTTGTCTTACTCCGTTAAGCTTCGCAAATCACTGCGGTTCACTTAATGATTAACTTTAACTTAACAGCAAATTTGTTTTTAGCGATAGCCTACTACGATAGCTAGACGTTTCTAATCTTCAATATGTGCAAAACATTCATATCTAACACTGAATAAAGTGTCCAATAATGCGACAAACTAACAGCAGGCCGACGGAGACCAACAACACGGACAGAATAAAGCTAAATAAATCTCGACGTGATTCATTGAGGGAAGAAATACAAGAACCGCTAAACTTGCCTTGCAACTGCGGTCCTGGGCTGTCTCTTCTGTGATGCGAATGTGTGAAATATACAGTTCTATTCGTCCGAAAGATAAGCGACACACGCGTGTATTAGAGCTTCAGTGTGTGTGTGTGTGAGAGATAGTCCAGAAAGGAGGCGGAGCGATACAAGAGCACCTGTCACAACATAACGGACAAGTGCTATACAAATTCCTGATCTGAATTAATAGTGGATTTGAAAGGGTCTGACCCATTTAGCTGAGCCTTGAACATTTCTAACGAAAGTAAAAACAATAACTAAATATTATTTTTATATGACTTATTTCAAACAGCATACTTTCATCAGAGATTTCAAATATTCAGTAACAACAAACGTTTTAAGTTGGCCAGAAAGTGCTACAATTATTGACAGAAATTCTCCTTAAAAGTCGAACCCCTTGAAAGTAATATAATAATTTGACCAATGGGAAGAGCATGTTATAATAAAAGACAACTTTATTTGTTTCTCTAAAGCAACAAGGCTTTGTATTGTACACATTTTTAAATTCCAAATGACACACAAGGAAATACCGATGCTTGCAAGGCAGCAATAATAATAAAAAAAAGAGTACATTTTGTTTAGGACAAATCTTGAATTTCATTCAAAGTATAAAGTTCACAAACATTTTCATCTTGGCACTATAAATTATCTACAAACTAAAGTTTGAATAGAGTCTGTGCATTAAAAAACACATAAATCAAAATGATAGTTTTGTGGCTTTTAACACCTGAATTGATTATCAATAGGCAAATCATTTTGTTGTGATAATGTGGCTATATTGTTTTTTAATGGACAATCCCTAAGATATGTCCTATTCAAATTTCAATAGGAAATACATTAACATAAAAAAATCCTGTTTGTCAAGTGATTTCATCAGGTCTGTAATTGGTTGGTTTTAACATTTTCTTAAAAAATGTGAGCAGTGCTTGCTCACACAAACAAGATGCTAGGGTGTTGTGGGTCATTGCCAGAGCATTGCTATGCAGTTTCTAACATGTTGCTAGGTGGTTGCTTACTGGTCACTTCCAAGTTTGATACAATAATCTGGTCCCCATATATGGCTTGGATCCCTCTTGGGATTTTATTTAACAGTTGTATCGTAGATCAGGTGTAAATCATCTGTCTGATAACTTAAAATAATTGCAGAATTCTCATCAATAACCCACACAATTTGGTCTACCAATCACATCAGCAGCAAAAAAGAAAAGAAAAACAGTGATGCCTTGCAAGCATCACAATAAGAGAAAAGTCCATTACAAATAAAACAACAGCCAACTATACTTGTATCTCTGTAGCAAAGTACAATGGACACATTTACAAATTCCAGGTGGCCCACTATACTAATTAAGCATTTATCTATATGATTGTTATCTGTGTAAGGTAACTAGCACAATAAAAATGTAATTCATAATAATCCTCTGGCCCTTTAAATCATAGCAAATGACAGCCACTGAAAGAAAGAAAAAGAACCATATAAAACGCAAACACAAAATGTATAAACATTAAGATATACTACTAGATTGCAAGACATTGCGTACCTGGAAGAAGTCCAACTCAATGAACCCACTGTCGTCTGCATCAATCCTCTTGAACACTTCTACAAAAAGTTAAACAAAAATGTTTTTTTGTCAATTTGCTGTTAAAGTTTAATTTTCACGTTAAAAACATAACTTGAGACAATTCAGAAAGTATGTAGTAAAGTGATATACAACTGTAATGCGGTCAACAAACCTCAAGTACTTTATAGCCATACAACTCAACAACAACAAAAAAGAACACCCTTAAAACCGATCTCAACCAATCAGAATTAAGAAATCACTGCTCTTACTGAACATCATCTCCAGGCGCATCACACAGGACACAAAGTTATCAAAGTCGATGTTCATGTCTGTGTCTCCATAGCGTGCAACCAGACTCTGATGAATGCAGTCATTCAGAGAGAATCCTGTGAAATGATCACCAAAAAACCAAGTTACTTTGATAAACTCAAAGCTTGTTTTGCTGCTTGCAAATAACTGCGGCTCATATTATGACTTTCAGGAATATACTGATTGCCTTGTATCAGAATTCATTTAATCCTTCTTTAAAAACTCATTTTAAAATGAAAAGCTGAATGAAGGTCAATGGTCCGAGTACCTGCTTCTTTCAAAGCCATTCGCATCTCTGGTGTACTCATACAGCCGGACCCATCCATGTCATTCTTCTTATAAATGCCCTAAAAAAGGGATGATGAGAATGTTACCCCAAGATAACTCATGAGAAGCAAAAGTTTCTATGCAAAATTTGAGACAAACTGACCAGATACTTTTGAATTTTCTTCCAAAGAGTGGCAAACTCACATAACCCCAGTTTACCATTGCCACTTTCCTGCACTAGAGTTAAGTCAAACTGATTGTGACACTCAGAAACACTAATGATTTAACAACAACTGCCTGTTGGACTATTTGTAAAAGGATACATCCATGAGGTTCACCATGACTCTACAAGTGTCCAAACTGAAACCATCTGTCTTTATATCTGTTCCTGTAGAGAGAAGACAAATTATTTACTAAATAATATCTTTATAAATATGTTTTTTTTTTATAATAATGTACAAAGAAAATACTTACTTTTGGCGACTATTTTGTTTAAAATTGTTCGCAGCTCAATGGCAGAGATCTCCATGTCCTTAGATAAGAGCAAACATTATTACATTTTTACATGTTTATCAAGTAAAGTAATCCATGAGCATAAAGGCCCGTTCACACCAAGGACAATAACTATAACGATAAAAAGTATTTCTAAAAATCATTCTACAGAATAGCAGAGTCCACGCCACAACTATAACGATAACGGCACAGGGACAATATTGTTTGAATCAGAATGATATAAACTAACAGCCAATCAGAATCCATTCGGCTTTAAAAAGCTTGAGCATTTAAAGCGGCAGAGGACAAAACTGCAGCGTGCGCTTAGAATAAACAGAACAATATTGTGTGCTGGTGTGGATGCTATTAAGAGTTATTGTTATTATTCTTGGTGTGAACAGGCCTTTATGCAGGGTCTAAAATAACTCACATCTCCAGCAAGTTTAGTAAACAGTCCCCTAAAGCCAGCATCAACCTCATCTTCAGACACTGTGTCCTGAGGAGACAGAAAAGAGGGTTATTGATGATATTCACAGTAATAAATGGCAATATTATCCACATTTTTCCTGAAGAGCCTACTGCGTTTTGAATTATGGGAGACACTTCCGGTTTGGGGAGCTTCCACTCAAAAAGACTAAAACAAATCATTTCATATTATAAGGTTGCGCAACAAATAATCCTTATCCGTCAGTTTGACTGAATAAGTTGTACATTTTCCTTCATGTTTAATTTTTTTAGACGTCAGAAGAATATCCCCAAACACTTGGTATTTTAATGTGACATAGTATCACAAGAATATCTGTGGCAAGAGCTCTTTTCAGTTGCTATATTCTTTTCCTCCAGATTATTTTCTTTGTATACCACTGTAACAATATATATATATATAAAAACATATCTGGCACATTATTCTGATTCTGATTATAATGCTTGCAAAAAGATCCAGCTCTTTTATTTCCATCATTGTTTGCAACCCAACACTGACAGTGGTCTGCTTTACTTTATGATATATCCGATGAATACCGGTAATTCACTGGATTTCACTAAAAATTCACTAAGATTCTCCCCAAATCCTCACGTCTCTTTTATCACACAGATGCTTTAAAATGTAATTGTCTCCCCTTTTCACTTCTAATCCCTTTTAGCAGTGCTGGAATGTTTCTAAAGCAGACAAATCTGTCAAAATGACAGAAAGCACTTTGAAACATCACTCGATGCTAAAGTTAATTAACATTTTTGATTAAGATAATGCATGTTACATAATACAGACATACATTACTACAGTGATATTTAACACATCCATAATATTGCTGCGGAAAGAATCAAGCTTTTGTGGTAATTCATGGTCTGTTGAAAGCAATTTGTTCATTCTTTAACACTTTTAAGTTTTCTTTTAACGCACAATGGCAGAAGGTTGAGTAGAATAATGTCACTTCATTGTACCCAGTTGTTGTTGTTTTGTTTAAGCTTATTGCGTTTATAGAGAGGATTGTTTACAGTTTAACAGAAGTTACTCCCATAATTCGCACAAAGGAGGAAAAATGTGTAATGGGACACAAAGGAAAATGGGACTTACATCTTCTAGGTTTGCCTCTACAGGGTCATCACATTGTCTGGAGGAAATAAGAGAGACAGGGATAGTAGATAAACTCCCCCCCTTCAAAAAATCGAATGATAATATAATAAAAATAATAGGGATGCACCGAAATGGCATTTTTCGCTTTTTGTCCGAAAGAGAAAAAAGGCTGAAAATATGCCACCCGCTCTTCCGTGTTCAGAGATCAGTTTCACTCTGGCGCAGCATGTTTGCTTGTAACTTTGAGAGCGGCTCCCGCTTCCGAAGATACACAAGTTCGAACTTGAAGCAACTGTTGTGTGTGCGCTGTGCTCAAATGTTCTGTCAGTGTTGCCAACTCTCGCGAGACAAATAAGCAACCACGGCTTCAAAAACAAGCCTAATATTATTATATTATTTATTATCATCAATATTATTTCTCATCATTAAATGAGCCTGCAACATATTAAACTGAAACCACTCTGAGTTTGGAAAGCAAAAACAGATGTAATTTTACAGAATAGGTTTGGAGAGGGCCAGTGGCCTTCAAGATGGTCTCCCAGTGGCTTACATTATTGTCAGTTTACTTAGTGATTAATTTACAGCAAAATAAAAGATAAAATCTATGCTTTCATGTCCGAAAACATTAGTTTTGTCTTACATTTCATAATAAACTAAGACAAGCTCAGTGCTGTGGTGGATTTTTTAATAAATAAGATAGTAAACTATCTTTTAGAACTAACCATTATAAAAATCTGACTTTAACCTGTGTTAAGGTTTTACCTGACTTCTCCGTTGGTTCTAAAATGATGAATAACATTTACCTGACTTCCCATTCTAGATCTAACAATATAACAAAATAAATCTTACTTCCTTTTTTAGATCTAACCTTCTGACAAACTTTTGACACGACCTAACCTTCTGACAAACTTTGGATAATGTGACCTTGGACAATGTACCAGAACATACTGTTTTTTTGTCTGTATTGTGTTATGATCAACTGAACTATTAACCCTTTACAATGTTTATTCGAAGATTCGAGATATTTTTGTTGATGTCACTTAAAAGGCCTCGTTTACACTGCAGGTCTTGATGCCCAATTCTGATTTGTTGCCTAAATCCGATTTTTTTTACCGTCCGTTTACACGTTCTTTAAATTGTGACCCATATCCGAGTCATGTGTTTACACTTGACTGAAACATCGCGCATGTTTAAAGGGGTCTTCTTGCTCAGATGGACGAACGTGCAGCAAGATCTCAGGACAGGTGGTAACATACAACACGATCTCATAAAAGTGAGTTTATAGCACAAATTTTATTTCTCATGCCATTTATACGCCAAAAATAGTTTTTGCTTGCATATGATACGCACTGTAAACGTGCGTATTAAACGCCATAAAGTGCGTATCATGCACGCAAAAACTATTTTTGGCGTAAATGCCACGTGAAAAAAAAAATCGTGCAATAAACGCGCACTTTCATGAGATCGTGGCGGGCTTTAACGAGGAGCAGTGGGTCCGAAATTTTAGGATGAGCAAGCCAACCTTTGATATGTTGTGTCAACGTGTGTCCACATTCCTCTCCTACAACGACACAATGTTTCATCGGGCCATCCGTCCATCCGCAGATGCGCGTCGGGGTTTCTCTCGTCATTAAACCGCGGAGACGCAGCCTAATGCCTCGGAAAATCCGATCTGCCCGTTTACATGACAGTCATATCACATATCCGATTTACATCTGATTTATTTCCACATATGAACGAGGCCTGAAACCGATCTCGAAATATCCGAATGCATGCGTTTTTTTCCTGTTTACACTGTCATAGAACACATCCGATCTGTGTCGCATACGAGTAAAAAATCGGAATTGGGTCACATTTCACTGACAGTGTAAAGAAGAAAGGGGGCTTGCTTTATCAATTTAACCAATCATATTGATAGAACGTGACATGTTTGTCAATGCTGATTCTATTTTGATGTGTCTGTATTTATCCATAAAACCTGATGTATGTTTCTTTTTGGGTGAGATGCTCGAGTACTTCTCTGAGATCTCCCGGCCGTGATTAAAAGCATTTAAAGGACATTTGCTGAAGTCTGCTGAAGTCATTTTGCTGCACAGTGAGTAAGCTAGGGTATAGGGTTAGACTCGGCCGCCATCGATGTGTAGACACGCTAGGGTATAGGGTTAGACTCGGCCGCCGTCGATGTGTAGACGTGCTAGGGTATAGGATTAGACTCGGCCGCCGTCGATGTGTAGACACGCTAGGGTATAGGGTTAGACTCGGCCGCCATCGATGTGTAGACACGCTAGGGTATAGGGTTAGACTCGGCCGCCGTCGATGTGTAGACGTGCTAGGGTATAGGATTAGATTCGGCCGCCATCGATGTGTAGACACGCTAGGGTATAGGATTAGACTCGGCCGACGTCGATGTGTAGACGCGCTAGGGTATAGGATTAGACTCGGCCGACGTCGATGTGTAGACGTGCTAGGGTATAGGATTAGACTCGGCCGCCATCGATGTGTAGACACGCTAGGGTATAGGGTTAGACTCGGCCGCCGTCGATGTGTAGACGCGCTAGGGTATAGGATTAGACTTGGCCGACGTCGATGTGTAGACGTGCTAGGGTACAGGATTAGACTCGGCCGACATCGATGTGTAGACGCGCTAGGGTATAGGATTAGACTCGGCCGACATCGATGTGTAGACGCGCTAGGGTATAGGATTAGACTCGGACGACATCGATGTGTAGACGTGCTAGGGTATAGGGTTAGACTCGGCCGACATCGATGTGTAGACGCGCTAGGGTATAGGATTAGACTCGGCCGACATCGATGTGTAGACGCGCTAGGGTATAGGGTTAGACTCGGCCGCCATCGATGTGTAGACGCGCTAGAGTATAGGATTAGACTCGGCCGCCGTCGATGTGTAGACGCGCTAGGGTATAGGATTAGACTCGGACGACATCGATGTGTAGACGCGCTAGGGTATAGGATTAGACTCGGACGACATCGATGTGTAGACGCGCTAGGGTATAGGATTAGACTCGGACGACATCGATGTGTAGACGCGCTAGGGTATAGGATTAGACTCAGCCGCCGTCGATGTGTAGACGCGCTAGGGTATAGGGTTAGACTCGGCCGCCGTCGATGTGTAGACGCGCTAGGGTATAGGATTAGACTCGGCCGCCATCGATGTGTAGACGCGCTAGGGTATAGGATTAGACTCGGCCGACATCGATGTGTAGACGCGCTAGGGTATAGGATTAGACTCGGACGACATCGATGTGTAGACACGCTAGGGTATAGGGTTAGACTCGGCCGCCGTCGATGTGTAGACACGCTAGGGTATAGGATTAGACTCGGCCGACGTCGATGTGTAGACGCGCTAGGGTATAGGATTAGACTCGGCCGACGTCGATGTGTAGACGTGCTAGGGTATAGGATTAGACTCGGCCGCCATCGATGTGTAGACACGCTAGGGTATAGGATTAGACTCGGACGACATCGATGTGTAGACGCGCTAGGGTATAGGATTAGACTCGGACGACATCGATGTGTAGACGCGCTAGGGTATAGGATTAGACTCAGCCGCCGTCGATGTGTAGACGCGCTAGGGTATAGGGTTAGACTCGGCCGCCGTCGATGTGTAGACGCGCTAGGGTATAGGATTAGACTCGGCCGCCGTCGATGTGTAGACGCGCTAGGGTATAGGATTAGACTCGGCCGACATCGATGTGTAGACGCGCTAGGGTATAGGATTAGACTCGGACGACATCGATGTGTAGACGTGCTAGGGTATAGGGTTAGACTCGGACGACATCGATGTGTAGACGCGCTAGGGTATAGGGTTAGACTCGGCCGCCGTCGATGTGTAGACGCGCTAGGGTATAGGATTAGACTCGGCCGCCGTCGATGTGTAGACGCGCTAGGGTATAGGATTAGACTCGGCCGACATCGATGTGTAGACGCGCTAGGGTATAGGATTAGACTCGGACGACATCGATGTGTAGACGTGCTAGGGTATAGGATTAGACTCGGACGACATCGATGTGTAGACGCGCTAGGGTATAGGATTAGACTCGGACGACATCGATGTGTAGACGCGCTAGGGTATAGGGTTAGACTCGGCCGCCGTCGATGTGTAGACGCGCTAGGGTATAGGATTAGACTCGGCCGCCGTCGATGTGTAGACGCGCTAGGGTATAGGATTAGACTCGGCCGACATCGATGTGTAGACGCGCTAGGGTATAGGATTAGACTGGGACGACATCGATGTGTAGACGCGCTAGGGTATAGGGTTAGACTCGGCCGACATCGATGTGTAGACGCGCTAGGGTATAGGATTAGACTCGGACGACATCGATGTGTAGACGCGCTAGGGTATAGGGTTAGACTCGGCCGCCATCGATGTGTAGACGCGCTAGGGTATAGGGTTAGACTCGGCCGCCATCGATATGTAGACACGCTAGGGTATAGACCTTATGTAGCCCCGCCCCTTTTCAGCGCTGCGCTCGTTGTCTTTTGACTTCCGGTCTGTATTTTCACAGCGATCTTGGCCCGGTCGACATTTGTTAAGACATCTGCTTTACAATGCTTATGATAAACATTACAATGCTCTTGATAACTTTCGTTAACTCTACAATAAGTAAATCCACTTCACCAGCTAATTACTCCTCGACAGCGATGCCATAGAAATATACAGAGTGACCGCAAAAACGGAAGTTCAAAGACAATATTCTAAAGATGACGGCGCGCTTGTTTCTCTGGTGCATAAGGTCTATAGGGTTAGACTCAGCCGCCGTCGATGTGTAGACGCACATTTGTGTAGACGCATTTGTGTAGACGTCAATGTGTAGACGCGTTTCTGAGTGCAATATCCCTACTGTGCTCTAATATGGTGTATATAGCTGTGCTGGGCAATGCTGGTAAAATGATGCTACTAAAATTTATTTTGATAATTGATCAAAAAACAAATCTGTTAAATCTGATTCTGTTGCATAGAACTTAATGAAGAATAATATATTTATATATTGATATTAATATATTGATATTTAATATTATTTTAATATAGGCCTATTTTCTGTCTAATTATTGTGTTTAAATAAAAGGTTATTTTATTGGCTTGTATTTTTTAAATTCAGATTTATTAAATTATGGAATTTAATTAAAAGATCTCATAATAACACAATTATACAAAAAACTAATTTAAAATAAGAAATTAATAATTATATATATATAAAAATAAATTAAAAAAGTCATTTTCGGTTTCCGTTTTCGGCCAAGTGCATTCAGAATTTTCAGTTTTGGCCCAGAATTTTCATTTCGGTGCATCCCTTAAAATAATAGTAATTTATATCCATATAAATAAAACATATACTGTAATGTAAATAATACAATATAGGTTTAAAGGGTTAAAGGGTTAGTTTACCCAAAAAGAAAATTCTCATAAATTACTCACCCTCAATGTTTTTTTGCACAAACAAAGCACTTGTGTCGCTTCATAAAATTTAGGTTAAACCACTGGTGTCACATGGATTATTTTAATGATGTCTTTACTACATTTCTGGTGCTTGAAAGTGTCAGTTGTGTAGGCTATCAATGGAGGGACAGAAATCGCTCAGATTTCATAAAAAAGATCTTAATTTGTGTTCTGAAGATGAACGAATGTCTTACATTTTTGGAACTTCATGAGTGTGAGTAATTAATAAGGGAAATTTTCATTTTTGGGTGAACTATCCATTTAAGACCGTTGAATTATTGAGAAAAAAAGGTCACTTGTAAAGTAATACAGTTTTTGTTTGATCACATGTTGAAGTCACTACAAGAACATGATCTTATTAGAGCTTATCAATAATTTTTGATTCAATAAAACAAGACAGTACTTACTGCATCTCAGACTGTTTCTCGGAGAACACGCGCACACAGAAGTCTCCATTCTTGTGCGGTTCGAATGTGGAAGGGACGATGAGATATTCTCCAGGAGGAAGTTTAAAGCGGGTGCTGACCTCTCTCAGGTTAATAAAGGTCTCAGATCGAGCTTTCTGAGCGTGGCTCAGGAAATAATTCTTATCCAGATGAACTTCCTTTTGCCCATGGAACTGCAATGAGGCGATCAAGAACCAGAGGAAGAATAAACTAGATGTTTGCATTTTCTGAAGAAAATGGGTGTAGGTTTTGCCTGTGCAAAAGTCAATGCTACATTGCTAGGGTGTTGTAGGTGGTTGCTAAGGCATTGCTATGTGGTTGCTTGGGAGTTTTGAGTGGTTATTATTGACTAAAACGTGTATTTAAAAATATGTTTACTGTTTCTATTTATGTTAATGCTCCACATTTTCATTTGCAAAACTCCTTTTGAGGTTTTTCCATTGTGCTCACCTGTGAAGGCACCTAGAAAGAAAGCAAAAAGAATAGGTGTATAAACAGCGCCCTTCACAGGTTGTCATAAACATTACAATAACAAACACATAAACCATTTGTATCTTAGCAACCCCACCTCATAGATGGCATAGCCAATGGTGTGCATGTCCTCTCCAGACTTCCTCAATTTCCGCCGGTTCTTCTGAATCAAGCCAATCACCAGACTGCAGCCTACTTCATTATCATCAGGATCATCATCTTCCTCCTCTAGTTTGATCTTAAACTGAGGATTCATCCAGAAGGTGTCTTTGGAATACAAATAATTAAGATGTCAATTAAAGCAACTGATTACATTCATACAGTACAAACTGTGCTTCTAGACATTCTCTAATCAGCCACTGACAGATAGTCCCTCCCCGAACTCACAGCATTGCTAGAGCCGATGTTGTTATGCCACGCCCACTTAAACAGATTGCAATTCCAATTAGTGCAAGTAGTGGTCAGGAAATTACACTTCACCTTTAAGGTCAAAGAAATATAAACATGCTTACATGGATTGTTCCTGCATCCACCAGCAGTAGAGCCTCTTCTCCAGGTGCCATCGAATTTACATGCACTCCAGTGTTTGACAGAGTCCGAGGACAGCGTGTCTGGTGTCAGAGTGCAGACCTCTAAGCGGGTATAGTGCCTCATAAAATCTGAGAATGACATCCTGCACAAATGCAAACAGGAAGTGAAAAACTGGTCCAAGAAAAGCTTTGGGGATGTGGTTATATGGTTTATAACTGATTTTTATTTTACCAGAACTCTCCATCTTCTGCCTTCACAATCTCACGTTCAGATGGATCGACAGCGCTCCACTCAGAAGAGCTAAAATACAGGGTGCATAGATATAATAAAGTAATAAGGTTAAGCAATATTGTGAATATTCTACTGTATAATGCTATAAATGCTCAATTCCAAGCTCATGCATCAATATAATATAGATTTGAATAAATTATTTTGAATCTTGTATTAAATTGTTGGGTCTTACTTGTCACTCCAGGCCCCCGTCCATTCCACCTGACCCCAAGGATTACGAACTCTGACCAGCTTTTCCTTTCGACCTCGATAATTAACCTGACAAAATTGTACATATATTATACATATAAAAGTTTACTTTTAGTAAATGTCTTCTTTCACTAAGCCAATGCACAGGGAAATGTCTGAATTTAGTCTAATCAAAGCAGCCCCCCCCCCCTCCCAAAAAAAAGAAAGACACTCAGATAAAAAAATAACCTCAATTGCCCCAGTAAGAGAGTAAGCATGTCCTTTCACAAGCTTCTGATTAGTAACGGCCTCAGAGTCTGCTGCACTGGTGATCTGTAGGAACAAAGAATTGGTAATATAAGCACTGCATCTTTTTTTCCTTTAACATCTTTAGGTGTGCTGAAGACCTCATACATCTATGGAGCATCCCAACAGAGCTCCAGAGTCCAGGGCCTTCCTGATGATTTGGAACATGTTGGATGGCGCGCTTTTCAACTCGTACATTTCTGCAATCCCACCGGTGAAATCCTCAAAACCTTCAGTTGTGGAACCTCCAGACAGAGCTTCATAACACCCATTCACTCTGAACGAGAGAACACAGTGTCACTCTGAGGGAAAGTGTGCAAAAAGAGTGATATAGACTACAATAATTGTTTACCTTCTGTTGGTATTGATAAAAATGTTAATGAGAATGTCCAAAAATGTGTTTGGGTGATATTTGGGTGCTATATGTGCATGACTTACTATAACACTTTGCAAAACTGTAACCACATATTTAAGATTACACACAAACAAACAAACAAATAAATCTATATTCTATACACAAATTTCGAGAAATTTTTATGTGCATGAATTCAGAACATAGTTTTATTAGTAGTATAAAATACAAATTTTATTCATCAAATAATCTTTAAAAAATGTATTACGGTTTACACAAAAAATATGAAGCAGCACAAGCATTTTCAACATTGAGAATAATAAGAAATGTTTCTTGAGCAGCAAATCAGCATGTTAGAATGATTTCTAAAGGATCATGTGACACTGAAGACTGGGTTAATGATGCTGTAAATTCAGCTTTGATCACAGGAATAAATTACATTTAAAAAAATATAAAAATTGATTTTCTTAAAATAGAAATTAAATTAAAATTAAAATAGAAAAACAATATTAATTTTTTACTGTATTTTTTTTATCAAATAAATGCCTTGGTGAGCATAAGACACTAAGAAAACTGAAAAGCTAGACTGCAATTATGATTGTTATGACACATGCGAAACATCCCAAACCCAACAAAAGATTATATGACTCACTTTGCATAGGCCTTCTCCAGAAGGGCGCTCCAGAACTCAGAGCCTGTGGCGGAATGAACAAACAGCAGTTCTCCATCTCTAGTGGGTAATCGATCATCCACCACCACATCCACCCATTCCCCATACTGCCACAACTGCAACCATCAAAACAAATGTACTTAAATTATGGAGGAATCACAGCAGATGACAATTAAAATACAACCTCATAACACAGAATCAAGAGCCAAAGCACAGTCTCAAAATCCTGTGAATCATCTCTGGCATCACTTACAGTTATAAACGGGAATGATTTAAATGCTTAAATATAATTAAACTCAGTGGCATGGCAAAAAGTAGAATTTAAAAATACAGCATGGCTGAGCACACAGAGGAACTGAGCATGCACTTCCTCTGGGATCAATGCTGTCCGTCTATTATGAGTCAGTTTGACTTCCTGTCCTGACAAAAACATTCCACCATTCCAACCCATAAAACCGAGCCAAACTGAGTCTCTGTTAAAGAGAGATAATTATTGATTAGACATCTATCTGTCTAATATCTGCCTAGCAACCAGCTAGAACACCCAAGCAACCTCCCAGAACACCATAACAGCTACTTAGCAACCACCTTATCAACATCCTAGCAAGGCTTGATTCTTCAAAACTTCATCAGCTCTTCAAACAGCCTAAGTATTCAACATATTTCTCTTTAAGTTCAACTTTAACATAGTTTAATATTTACTTTGTTTACCTGAAAGTGGAAAATTCCAGCATAGTCTTGCCCAAAACCCTGGTTGGATGGTACAACACGAGCCAAAACATCTTCATTGAGGGTTAGTGACGCAATGGCCGCTAAGAGCCAGCAATCACCTGCAGAAAGAAAACATAGTTGTAGTTTTGGAGGTTTTACGAACTTTACCAAAATTAACAGCTGCAAAGGTATTATGAATGTTAACGGGATAGTTCACCCAAAAATGAAAATTCTGTTTAAATTTACTCACTCTCAAGTTTTTCCAAACCTCTATGAATTTGAATTATGATATTTTGAAGAATGTCAGTAACCAAACTTTTAATGGGCCCCATTGAATTGCATAGTATTTTTTTTCCATACTATGGAAGTCAATGGAAGTCATCAACTGTTTGGTTGTCATAGTCTTCAAAATATCTTCTTTTGTGTTCAGCAGAAGAAATAAATAATAAATTCATACAGGTTTGGAACAACTTGAGGTTGAGTAAAGAATTGGCTGATGACAGAATTTTCATTTTCAGGTGAACTTTCCCTATAATACTCATAAGGAAAATTGACATTTTCCCAAAGCAGAGACGTAAATAATGCAAAGTCATGAGTAAAGTCATGAGTTATGACTTCAAGTCCAAATTCTACATAATTTGAAGATTCCCCTTTTGTGTTGCACTGATGAAAGAAAACCACAGGGTTTTGAATGGCACGAGGGTGAGTAAATGACAGAGTTTTCATGTTTGTTGTGTACTATCCCTTTAAGACTTTACTTCCCCCACATGCTCAATTGCAAGCGCTGAGATTCTGTCCTCCAGCAGTTTGTTGTAGGCCTACACAGTTCGTCCTGCCCAAATATCCTTTGCATTCCGCAATCTTCACAAAGACGACTCAGTTTAGCTAGCTGCCTCTGAAATAAATAGCCTTTCAGATTCTTCCCCAACGTGTCAGCTGATTAGGCTTCAAAATGCCTTTAACTAACAGGGCTGAAAAAAACGGTTTCCTAGGTATGAATCATCTTTCATACAGCTATGACATTATGTTCCTAGTGATACTACCATATACAACAACACTGAAAGTGTTACTGTAGTAACGGTTAAACTATAAGTCTTAATGGGGAGTTTCCTCAACCAGTGTCGAAACTATTTTAGCACTATTTCCGATTCTAAAAGATTCATTCATTCATCCACACTTCATCATAATCATACATATGGTTTAAAAGATACAAAAAAGATGAAATCAAAAATTTGGTGCACCTACTACTAGCACATACACAGATTCAGATGTAATATGGGACCCTTGTGAGGCAGATTTTACAGGAATCGTTCCCTGTGTTATGCAATGGTGCATATCACACCCCGCTTTATGAACACAGACAGAAGATTTCTCCATAAGGCTCAACAGACTAATTGTAAGTAAAACACAAACAAACAGAGGAGCTAAAACTGTAATGGCTGGGATTTGATCCAAAAAGTGCACAAAACTTCTCTGATGTCTACTTTACTGGGTGTCACTTATTATTATAATATTGCAGTGCAATATTAAAGGGGAACAGAATACTTAAAGACAGTGGGTGTGCTTCTTAAAACGTTTCCACATGCTTAGAGGGGAGTTCCTAAAAATGTAAAAAGAATAAGACAATTCCAAGATAGCTTCATAAAATGCAAGACACAATTGGTCAATCTCACATGATCCTCCTGTTCATTCCTCATAATGAACACATTTTGGACTGTTTTATTGCACATAGCAGTGGTGTTTACTTACCTAAACCTCCTTGGCAAATATCTGTTCTTGTAGCTCCTCCAACAATAAACTCAGGGCTGGAGGTGAGTTCCTGCAGGAATAGTGAAAAAGCATTGACGTGAAGTTTTCGGAAAACAAACAAACTAGTAGCCTACTTACAATGTTAAAATTTTCTATTCAAATACTCATAAGATGAGTCATGTGTTGGCAGACATTGCTTTTTAAGAAAAGTACATTACCAAGAGTTTGCTTCATGCCACAATGCCAATATAGATAGATAGATAGATAGATAGATAGATAGATAGATAGATAGATAGATAGATAGATAGATAGATAGATAGATAGATAGATAGATAGATAGATAGATAGATAGATAGATAGATAGATAGATAGATAGATAGATAGATAGATAGATAGATAGATCCCACCCCAGGTGGATAAACTCACCCCAGGTCTTTTCCACACAACACCTCTGGTTTTTGACGATCGTGGACCGAGTTCGTTGAAGCCCAGAGTTTCGGGAGCGGCTGGGAATGTTGTATCACAGAACAGCTGCCCGCGGCTCAGACATTCACTTCTCAGACTCTCAAAGTTCTGGTTCAGGTACTTCACGGCATTGGTGTTCGTCCCAAAGCCAGCCGCCAGGGCTCTCTTCTTGGCGAGTGTTGATGCCACGCCGGACATTTTCTAAACTTTTCCCCTGTGCTTCTCTACAGCTGTAAAGTGCGACAGTGAAATATTTCTACTCGTATGCCTTCACCCACTCCTCCTTCTAGGACAGGCGTGGTCCTAAGCCTTTAATTTTAGGGGGCGTTCGCACACGCAAAGGATTTCTGCGTTCTTTTTGCGTTTAAAAACAGCTGGACGCAGCACAGCTTAAAGAATGCAGAACGTCTCATGGCGGCTTTACAAAGCTGAGGTCTTGACTTCACGCGTTTATAGAGGAAGAGGTCTTGCATTTCGTCTGCACTTTTTTTTGGTTTATAGACCGTCTTGCTGGGGGAATAAAACAAACCTTTTCTGGTCTCCCACCCAGGTCAAGCCGGTCTGTTGGCTGGTTTTACAGGGGTTTTAGTAACTTTTTAGCTGGCTGCTATAGTCTTTCCAGTAGGGTTGGTTTCTGTGAAATCAGCCTGGTAACGGTGCCAGGTACTTGATTCTAATTGGTCAATTATTTGCCGTCATTTATTCCTTTATTTATTAGGCCTATTATTATTTTTATTTATTTATTTAAAATGTTTGCAGGCTTGGTTCCCCATACATCCATGGTAATTATCGCTGTATATATTTTTTATTTTGGGTTAACTTTAAAAAGCGCACTGATCAGCGCTACTTTCGGAGACTTGCTCGCTTTCATACAATCGCAACTGGCGCTATCTCGCCTGAGTTATCGAATTGCCTATAGAGAAAAGCTTTACTGCATTAGGCTACAATGTTCGTCTTGTTGGGAGCCTATGCCGATTATTTTGAATCGGGTAACAAGGGGCAAGATGAGTCATTTTGTGAAATAGTTTTCACTGTTTCTATTATAACTAAAATATGCTCATTGCCAAAATATGGCCAATTCATATTTTACATTTTGTGCTATAACAACTAAATAAGCAAATATTTATATTTATTTCCTTTAATAACACATTGACTGATGCATCATCATCATCCTGGACATGCTAGATATTTTTGCATCATCTTTTACATATTTGACCCCACAATGTTGCTGTTAACCGATCTGAATCAAGTAGTCCAGAGTGTATTTTAATTGTCTCACAGTTCTCTTAAACTCTTCTGCTCCAAATCATCACAGGGCTGAAGATCTGCATTCTCACGATGACCGCCCTCTTGTGTTCTTTATACAGCAATGTACACTAAGCATTTCATCAAACAAGTTGTAACTCAAATGTTATATTATTGTTCATTAAAACAAGAGCATATGTTCAATTCTTGATCCAAACAGAAAAACTTTAAACTTCCATGAACTGTAAAATTAAACTGTGTTAAATGCAATATATTTATGCATTTAATAATAACATAGCTGAATCAGCTTGACGTTCTGGCCAACATTCTATAATTGCTAAAAGTTGTATAGCAGTGGTAGGCTACATAGGAAATTATAATAAGTATTATATGTCTGCCAGAGGAAAATAGTAGGCTAGTTCTGTAAGCAGCAAGCATTCAGAATATTGAACTCATGTCAAATAAACATTTTAATGCCGTCTGATGTTTCTCCATTTGGAATACAAATCTTTGATCTAAAATTACATCACATAGCCAAGTCTACTAGTCTTTTTTTTGCTCGTCCAAGTAGGCCTACTAGGCCATATTTTCCTCCTTCTTTCCATTAATTTAAAAGCATGTCCAGCAGAGGGAAGTAGAGTGTCAAGCAAACACACTAAAACTCCGAGGCAGTTTAGTCATTTAAATATTTGAAGCAACCCGTCTTGTTCAGTGTTTCAGTGTTTTTCAGTGTTCAGTGCTTTAATAATACCATCTCTGGTGGTACAGGATACTGGTGGTAACTCTTCACTTCATAAATCACTCTTCTGAGGTTTGAATTATCCTTTAGAATAGATTGGTGTTACAAATCCTTAACTAGCGGATGCAATATAATATATATAAAAACACCGTAAAAGTATAATAAAATATAGGTCTACTATATGCTATAGTCTATTAAATGTAGTCTGTAACCAAGCATAAACCAAATGCAATAAACCCAAATTATTTCATTTTATGAGGATGCGTCACGAACGGTCACATGACACATGAGAACCAATAGGCTGAGAAGGTTTGTTGTCAATATGAAGCAAACAAAAAGGCGCCATTTTTAATTGACGGCAACCTGCCAGAAGACGAAGAACAAAAGCGAGTTTAACTGAACAATGCGAACAAATATGCCAAATCGTTGATTTGTGCCCTCACACATTGCAGACTGCTTTTTGGGGTGACTTTTTCGTAGCTTGGTAGTATAAATCATCCACTTTTATGCCAAATTCTCAGAAGCCTGCTGAAATAAGGGTGAGTAACTGTTAATGATAAAACGTCCTAATGTGATGAAGTCCACATGATGGCAGCAAAGAAATAGAAAGCAGACATCTGAAAGTCCCTTGAATTTACACATTCAATTGATTTTAAACCATTCCAATGCAAGGAGATGAGAAAGAAGAATCAATTTGCTACTTGTGCATTGTTATCTTAACAGTGGCGCTTTTCAGATAGCGTGCAAACAACGAATTGTTTCCTTTCCCATCTCTTTGCGCTTGAACGGACACAAACACACAAAACAAGTATGTGAAAAAATACCTGTCTCTGCAGGTATGCTCGTAAACACATTCGGTTTTGTCATAATTGAACCTTAGGATTACTACCATTATATTGGATACGTGCCTTAGGTCTTAAAGTGACAGCAGCCTATAAATACAGGCAGCTGTCTATGTCAAAACAAGTATACATCTTGCTTTTGGAAACATTGGACCCGAAGCCTGTATATGCTCTATAAATGATGCCTCATCCGCATCATTCTTAATTGTTTTGTATTGTTTTTACATTTATATCTGTATTGTGTTGTCTCTATGGACCTCTGTGTCTGGAATAAAAGTTGATAATATGTCATTAATGTTCATGAAACAACAAAATATAGCTTACAAAAGAATATTTAATACAATGAGGACTATAGTGTTATTTTACATTTAGGCCTAATTATTATATTTCTGTACCTGAATACTATTTAGACCTTACTTTATTTGCAACTTTGATATAGGCTATTGTATTTATCTTTATATTATTTTTTTCTCGCTGATCCGAAAAATGATAAAAAAACGTAATATGACCCGAACTGTGAGTTTTGTGATCTGTTGAATTACTATAATATATAACATATAACTATAATATGATATGATATGATATAATATAATATAATGACAGAAGGGTGCCCATTTGCCGTTACAAGCAGAGTGTGAATTATCGAGGAGTTTTGCCACTCAGCGCTTTCCATTATCAGCATTGGACTGTATATAAAACATGTAGTATATCATTGTTAATTACTTCATTATAATTTTGCACATCACAAATTACATGAATTTATACATATCACAATAAATAGTGTTTTAGTGAATCATCTTTGATACAATTTCTTTTATAACTTATCAGTCGTCCCATTTGAAAGTCATTGAATAATTCTCACCCTGAATATAATATAATATCAAGATGTACACAAACTTTTTTTTTTACAAAGCAGCATTGGATTATATTATATTATTACATTTGCTTAAACAATTATATTACCTTATTATTATTATTATTATATATATAGTAATATAATTGTATTATTATTATTATACATTTATATTATATTGTTATATTATAGCCTATATATTATATTATATAGCTTATTTTATGATTATATTATATATTAAATTTGTTTAATCAAGAAATAAAACAGAAAAACTTGGATTGATGTAATTTATATGATAAGAGATGGATGATTATTTTACTGTTGAAATGCAGTGATATGCAAAATGACATTTCTTGCAAGCTTCATTTATAGATGACAAATGACACTCGACGATGCTGATCAGTCATGCAGCATTCAACTTGTTTAAACTTGAAACCGCAACATGATGATGCGCGCGAGAGAGAGAGAGAGCGCGAGAGAGCGCAGGAAGGGTGAGCGCGCGGAGCATCAGCACTCTCTCAGCATCAGGATCAGCGGTCGGTCGGTCGGTTGTCGAGAGCACGGGCCGGACTGATCAGGAGGAAGCAGGTAAGAGCGCTGACTCTCTGACTTACTCTGGAAAACTGATGACAAGTCTGTAGGCTACAACAGCTACTTTTATTGATAACATTACTTAGTATCAACTAGACATGTTAGAAAACAATGAAGCAACCAATGCTTTCAATTGGCCATTCAATTTCTATATGTTGTGTTCTATTATATTTCAGTGTTTTATTATCTTTTAAGTTTTTTTTTTAAACCTTTGAATGTTTATTAGTTTTTTGCGTAAGTGTTGCGCGTATCGGGTAGCGGTGCACGCGCCTGCTGCGCTTGTCGTTATTTATTCATATGTCATGCGAGCACACGAGTGTGAACTAGCGGGTTGCCATGAGCGCACGAGAAGCTCGTGAGGGGTTTCACCCCCGGAAACTTATTGAAGAACCAAATAAAACAGCGTGTCAACTGATAAGCGCATTTAATGTTATTATGACTGATGCTGACACTGATGAAAGAGGAATGGCTGGCATAGCATTAGGGACACTACGAGTTTATAATGTTGTGTGGTGGCAGGAGGGAATAATTTGTGATGCTACGTATATTATCAGCATGCATATAGACTTCCAGCTGGACAGCTGATCTGATTACCTGTGCATGCATAAGCGCTCTAGAGTGATCCAATCCAAATGGCTTGTTTCAATTTGCTCTCCCCCCAACGAGGGTCTGATATTATGAAGTGCCTATTTGTCTTTTTTTGCCTTTCATACAAGGCTATAAATAAACCGCTTTCAGCTGAGATACTGTACCTCATTACATTTGAGATTGTTCACCTTTTGGTTTGGGTGAACTCAGTTGACTTATTGATTACAAGGACTTACTGATTATTATTACACGGCTCTGTGGAATACTTGATTCTGATTGGTCAATGGCGCCATCCAGCGGTAAGTTATTTCCAGATAACAACCGCTCAGAACAGACACAGGCTCATCCGGGTTACTGAAGTCAGCAGTGCTATACGCCTATAGGAACGGGTTTTCTTCGTGGAAGTTTTGTATTTGGTGAGCTAATAAAGTATTAAAACTCAGTTGAATCAATATTTTGTGTCCAGTTATTTAATTATGCCATCCAGTATCATGGACC